CATTCTACAATTTTCTTTTTTTTTAAGAGATTGTGTCTCACTCTGTTACCTAGGTTGGTCTCAAACTCTTGGGCTCAAATGATCCTCCCACCTCAGCCTCCCTAGAAGCTGGGACTACAAGCATGAGCCACTGCCATTGCACCCAGCTTGCAAAGATTTTTTTTAAGGCATTGAAATTTTATTAGGAAGCAAACACACAAAAAAATAAGCAATTTTTTGAAATGACCTAAAAAATATATATATTTAGTATATTCCATGGTTAGAACAATTCTTCAGATTGGAATAAATGACTCTGCTAACATATAAGCAATTTAATACTGGTTTAAAAAATAACAAGAGGGGGGTTGGCAGGACCCTGACCCCAAGATGGCGGCGCCCTACGAAATGGCCGCGGCAACCTCCGGCCAAAGTGATGGCGGGGGTGGGGGTTTTGGATCCTGGCTGGACAGACGGTTGGAGGCGCTGGGAGTGGACCAAGCCGGTTATGGTTCCTACATCCTTGGTGTCCTGCAGGAGGAGGAGGAAGAAGAGAAGTTGGATGCTCTGCAGGGTATCCTGTCTGCTTTTCTGGAAGAAGATTCGCTCCTTAATATCTGCAAGGAGATTGTGGAACGATGGTCTGAAACTCAGAAGGTTGTCACCAAATTGAAAAAAGAAGATGAGGTCCAGGCCATTGCCACCCTCATTGAGAAGCAGGCACAGATTGTGGTGAAGCCCAGGATGGTGTTGGAAGAGGAAACACAGAGAAAAGCTGCCCTGCTGGCCCAGCATGCCGTTGTAACAGATGAAGAGGATGAAGCAGATGAGAAGGATGATTCAGGTGCCACCACGATGAACATTGGTTCAGATAAATCTCTGTTTCGAAACACCAATGTAGAAGATGTCCTCAATGCTCGGAAATTGGAGAGAGACTCACTTCGGGATGAGTCCCAAAGAAAGAAGGAACAGGACAAGCTGCAGAGGGAGAGAGACAAACTAGCCAAGCAGGAGCACAAGGAAAAGGAAAAGAAAAGGACACAGAGAGGGGAGGGAAAGCGATAACCCTGGCCTGTTCAATTCTTCCCCTGCTTCAAGAACTTGATGAAAAGGAAAACTGGCTTTGCAAATGTGTATTTAAGAGAAATGAGAAAACATTGCATAGTTCTTTCCCAAGGCATTTCCCTTTTGTTTACATGGTCAAAAGGAAAATCACAATCACTTTTAATTACAAAAATGTGCCATGTTTTGCTGATGTGGATGATCAGATAATTAATGTCTGTACCAAAGAGCTGCAATTGGGGCAATCTTTATATTTTAATACTGAAGTTCTGTGCTCCTTTTGACTCCTTTTTTATAAAATGTCTTCCCTCACCTAATTTTCCTTGAATAAATAGGATTCAGAAAGCTAACAGGGTTTTCTTCTGGGAGAAGAAACATGACCGTTCCTCTGAGATGAAAAGTGCAAGTATAAATTACTTCAGAGGTAATATTTACTCCTAAGTGTAGTATAGTTTTATGGCTGATATATAAAGCTAATCAGGAAGCTTGGTGGTGTGGTACACACCTGTAATTCCAGCTCCTGGGGAGGCTGAGGCAGGAGGATTACAAGTTTGAGGCCAGTTTGGGCAAATTAGTGAGACCAGTCTCAAAAAAAAAAAGGCCTAGAGACTCACTGCTGGCTTCAATCCCCAGTGCTGCCAAAAAGAAAAACTAATAAAAAACCCTACTTGGATTGGATTTTATGTTACATGAGAGAAAACTAAGAAAGTGGGAAGAAATTATTTGGAGTGTGTTTAAGATCTGAGATCTTTTTTAAAGAAAATTTCAACTGATGGGATAAAAAAGTATCTTTAAGATAGTTAAATATTTTTCTTCATATAGGCTGTGACATTAAGAAGGATGTGTCAATATTGAGTGGAACATTATCATTGTTAAGCTAGATTCATTTTTTTTATAATCATGAATTCTCTTGAATGCCAGTAGAAATTTTAACCCCAATTTTCCCTAAAACATGATTATTAAGACCTGGTAACTCCTGATTAGAGAAACTGGAGGAAATGCCCTTTTAAAGAAACACTGGAAATCTTGCTAATATAAAAAATACTTAAAGAGTGTACTAGTAGGTGCTTAACAAATTTATTGAATGAATGAATGGGAAAATTGCCTGGGAGAGTCAAAAGTGAGCAAGAACTCTCCATTTCTACCTTTTTCACAAGCCACATTCAATTATAAATAAGGCTCTTCTCTACTTGACTTCAGGCAGTAGTAGACCGTCCAGAAGCCTAAAGAGCATTTTTCTCTCATAAGACAAAGTAGATATTTTATACCACGAATCAGCAAACTACCAACTACAGGGCAAATTTGGCCATCTTTTTTTGTATGGTACAAACTAAAAATGGTTTTTACATTTTTCAAGAGGCTATAAGATAAAGAACACATGATAAAACCTGAATTATTTACTGTCTAGCCCTTTCAAGAAAGTTTGCTGACCTTTGTTTTATATCATTAACTATGAGATTAACAAAAACTTTTATCTTTGTGCAGAAGGTTGAAAATAAAAAGCATGGTTAAGGAAAAGGAAATTATGTTACCTCTTCATAAAGTCCTCTAACCATGGCATTGCAAAAATAATGACATTTTTTAAAAAATAAACTTTATTTAAGTCACCAAAAAAAAAAATAACAAGAAGCAGAAATATCTGGTACCTGTATTTCCCCTAGTATCCATCAATCTACCACTGGTCTATTCATTATACATCATCTATCTACCAATGTCTATCTACTTATCACTTCATCAAAGGCACAATTGCACTTGGACAAATTTACTGGAAGCCATATGGGACGAATAAATATAAACATTGACTGATACAATAAACATAAAAGCAGTAAAACTTTTAAAATTTTGATGAAAATAGGAGCACTATTTCAATAATGAAATATTGTAGTTGAACCCTAATTAATAGAACAGACGGAATCACTGAGGTTTGGGGTAGATAGAAAAAGATGAAAACTATGTTAAACAAATATTAAGGCATCAATATCCTAAGAATGGTCAAAAAGAGAAGAACCATCAAATCATTTCAGGAATATTGAAGAGCCACACACTGCAAGGATCTCTGACTATGATGGCTATGCAGGCACCCAGCACATCAGCTTCATCCATGACGTGGGTAGTCAGTGGGATGGTGTGACCCTGTTTACAGTTCCAGAGGAGATCCCTGGTGGCCCTCCTTGAGGTGGGGTCCCTGCCAGATGTTGCCTCAACAACATCATCTTCAGAGACTTTATG